GCACTTGCCTGGAGGCAATAATCTGCACGGACTGGATGCCATCCTTCAGGACTCAGCACATGCATTAAATCAGAGAGCTATAATCACAGCTAAATTACAGCTCCCTGCTATGTCCCCTACAGGAAGAATGCATGGGTCCAGGAACCTAGGGGCAGAAGCAAGAGTGGCCACACTTACCATCACTTCCAAAGACCTACTGGGGAATGTTGTGCTTCCTGTCCCTAAACTCTAGGTTCTGTAGGGTTGGAAACACTAATCCCCAAAGGGGGCATATTCTTGCCAGGGACACAACTACACCTGTTAAGTCCCACCAAACTACAGAACTCTGGCTGCCACCAGGGTAGTTTGGACTCCTTGTATCTAAGAACGAGGAGACAAGAAAAGAGTCACCATCGTGGCAGAGATTGACTGAGCTTGAATAGCAGGAGGTGGTAGCACTGTTTTTATACATTGGGTAGGGGGTAAAATAATGTGAAGCCCAAATGATCCATTTGGGTATCTCTTGGTACTCCCTTGTCCAGTTGTAACTGTAAGTGAACATGTGCAGCAACCCTGGTCAAGAAGACTACGGCGACCAAGGGCTTGGACCTCTCAGGAATGAAGGTTGGGGTTATACTACTCAGCAAGCCAAGCCCCACTGAAATGATAGCTGAAGATGACGGGAACTTAGGACAGCGCAGAAGGGAGAAGGTAAGTACCAATCGTGGCCCCAAGACTAACTTCATCAATGGGGATTGTAACTTGTTCCCCAAGGCTCCCTCTTCTAGGCTTCCCCTCAGGAAACCATGGAAAGAAACATGGGTACATTGTAGAAAAGAGGATCTGCGCAGTGTAAGGGGCAGACTGTGAGGCTGTGGAGCTGCATCACTCAAATCTCCTTCAAGAAAACCTGACAAAGTACCCAGAGAAGTCATAATTAATGGCAGCCTCCAGCTGCTTCCCCTGTGAATGCAGAAACCACACTTCCTCTAGGCTCTGCTCCTAGACAACAACTGAGCACAACAGGATTACTGGTGTGCCCACTCCTGCCCAAAGGGGACTCCTCGTGAGCAGCTTTTTGCTCAGGGACTTCTCATCAACTTGACTGAGATTCTTCTCAGAGCTGGTCTATGGGTCTGAGACTTCCTTCCCACTCCTTCCTCCCTCTGTCCTCTCCCAGGGTTCAGCCTGGCCTCTGGATCTAAAGCCTCTCCCTGCCTATTCTTGCTCCCTAGCTCTTTAGCCCTCACAGGTGTTTCCTCTGTCTTGGAATCTGCTTCTCAAAAAAAACCCAAGTTGATAGAAATAATATATGATCTCTCAAAGATAGAGTACAACTACTAAAACATAGGGGCTGGCCGGGCGCAGTGGCTCCCGCCTGTAATCTCAGCACTTTGGGAGGCCAAGGCAGGTGGATCACAAGGTCAGGAGATTGAGACCATCCTGGCTAACATGGTGAAACCCTGTCTCTACTAAAAATACAAAAAATTAGCCAGGAGTAGTGGCATGTGCCTGTAGTCCCAGCTTCTCAAGAGGCTGAGGCAGGAGAGTTGTTTGAACCCGGGAGGTGGAGGTTGCAGCAAGCCACAAATAAATAAATACATAAAAATAAAACATAGGGGCTTGGCCAGGTGCAGTGGCTCATGCCTGTAGTCCTAGTACTTTGGGAGGCTGAGGCGGGCAGATTGCTTGAGCCCAAGAGTTCAAGACCAGCCTGGGCAACATGGCAAAACCCTGTCTCTACAAAACATACAAAAATTAGCTGTGCATGGTGGTGTGCACCTGTAGTCTCAGCTACTCAGGCTGAGGTGGGAGGACTGCTTGAGCCTGGGAAGTTGAGGCTGCAGTGAGCCAAGATCATGCCACTGCACTCCAGCCTGGGTGATAGAGTGAGACCCTGTCTCAAAAAAAAGGGTGCAGGGGGAGGGCAGGCTTAAGGGGGAAGGATGAGAATAACATAGCAAAAAAAGTTTAACTGTTTTCCATGATCATAATTGTAGTAGAAGCATTAGTATTGTCATTTTGAGATGGCTGTGTTTATAATGCGGGATAAAGAAAATGGTTAATTAGGGGATCTTCTAATTCTACCAATTTCTCTACCCTTCAGACCTAGGGTTCTCATTATGGAAAAAAGAGATACAGATGTAATATATAAAAAGTTAAGCCAGGCATGGTGGCTCATGCCTGTAATCCCAACACTTCGGGAAGCCAGGCAAGAGGATTGCTTGAACCCAGGAGTTCAAGACCAGCTTGGGCAATGTAGCAAGACCCTGTCTCTACAAAAAATTTAAAAATTAGTTGGGTGTGGTGGTGCACACCTGTAGTCCCAGCTACTCAGGAGGCTGAGGCAGGATCACTTGAGCCTGGGAAGTCAAGGCTGCAGTGAGCCATGATCATGCCACTATGCTTCAGCCTGGCTAACAGAGTGAGATCCTGTTTCCAAAAAAAAAAAAAAAAAAGGTAAAAGTATGTTATAGTTTGGTTTGATCCCTCCAAATCTCATAGTGAAACGTAATCCCTGTTGTTGGAAGTGGGGCCTAATAGGAGGTGTTTGGGTCATGGGCAGACATGCGGCGACACCCCTCATGAGTGACCTGGTGTCATTCTTGTACTCATGGTAAGGAATGAATTCTTGCTGTATGAGTTCTTGTGAAAGCTGGAAGGAGCCTAGCATCTCCTTCCGCTTTTTTTTTTTTTTGAGATGGAGTTTTGCTCTAGTCGCCCAGGCTGGAGTACAATGGCGCAATCTCAGTTCACTGAAGCCTCTGCCTCCTGGGTTCAAGTGATTCTCCTGCCTCGACCTCCCAAGTAGCTGGAATTAGAGGCGCCCGCCACCATGCCAGGCTAATTTTTGTATTTTTAGTAGAGACGGGGTTTCACCATGTTGGCCAGACTGGTCTCGAAGTTCTGACCTCAAGTGATCCACCTACCTCGTCCTCCCAAAGTGCTGAGAATACAGGTGTGAGCCACGGCGCCCAGCCTCCTTCGTCTCTTTCATCCCTCTCTTGCTATGTAATTCTGCACACCCGTCCTCTTCTACCATGTGTGAAAGCAGCTTGAGGCCCTCACTAGATGCAGATACCAGTATCATGCTTCCTGTAAAGCCTGCAGAACCATTAGTCAACTAAGCCTCTTTTCTTTATGAATTACCCAGCCTCAGGTATTCCTTTGTAGTAGCATTAAACGGACTAAGGCACCCTACAATCCTGAATTGGAATCAGAAATAACACTGTAAAATCATGGGGCACCATGGATGCATGTGTGTATTCACACTCATGTATACATACACATTTACATATGCATTTAACATATATAATTCCAAGATCTTCACTATCTTCAAATATACATATTTACTATATATCTTTATTTCTAGATGTCTATATTAAATGTATAAACATGTTATATTCAAATTTAATCAAAGCTCTGTCTACTGAATAGGCCTAGAACCAATGATCTACCAGTAACAATGAGAATTTCTAGTGTCCAATTATGGTCTTGCAATACCATTTCCCACTTAAGGAAACCAGGGCTTTTTGGAGAAATGGCTGATTCCAACTCTAGGACAGAAAATGGATAAAGTGAGCCTAGAACATCTTGCAATACCAGAAATAAAAGCAGATATCAAAGACAACTAGAGTTGTGTCAAAACAACTCAGGAGCCAACTTAAAGAAGCTCCCAAAGGCCAAAGGTAGGACAATAAAGATAATAACTGCAATGAGATGAAGTCTATCAAATACATTTAAACCAATGAGTTCATAATACTGTTTAAAAAATAGTCATCTTCTGAAGATAACAAAGAACCAGTTCATTATCTTAAAAGTTGGGTAAATAAAAGGAAAGAATTAAGCACTTATCTGCCTTTCCCACACAAACTCTACTGGGAAATCAAACAGTAGATGAGAGACAATGTCTCCTTATAAAATTATTCCATCTAATAAATGAAGACAAAATGATAGATTAGAATATCCCCATGCTGCAATCCCCAGTGAATTACTTGCTGGATGTAGGTATTGAGCATCAGTGGCTGCTAAAACAACAAAAATGAAAAACAGACGTTACGTGCCTCTTGCTAAATGAGCACACCACCACCTAGAGTCTTATCAAAGGGATCAACCTGAGGCAAGTTGTCTAGATCTAGTTGCTGATCTGCAGGAAATGCTGAGGATAAAGGAGTATATTGAACTGCACCACAGGCATGAAATTAGCAAAAACCCAGGCTGTGGAAAACTACAGATCAAATAGCTTAAAATCTTCAACAAATTGTAAAAAAAGGAAAGGGATGGAGGGGATCCTTTAGATTAAAAGAGACTTAAAAGATGTATCGAGTTTTTTAAAAGGACAGTAAGACTATAGCATGTAGGGATGCACATTTGGGCGACAAAACAATAAAGAAACTCAATGAAATTGTTACTTATAAAAGTCAAGAAGATGGAAAAAGGGAGGTGCTGGGACTGTGATGGGGAAAGGGGAACATGGAGGACCCTGGCATGTTCCATGGGGGCTGGCAAAGTTCTATTCTTGACCTGAGTAGTGATTACAAGGGTGCTTGCTTTATAGTAATTCACAGAGTTCCTTTGCTTGCTTGTTTATTTACCAGTCCCTGAAATCTGACCGTCTGGGAAGCACTGAAGTAGAGCAGGTGCAGAAGCTGAGGCAGGCAGGGCTGCTTGCTGAGTGAACCAGACACACCTATTTACCCAGGGCCACTGGAGAGGCCTGGCTGGGCCCTACACAGAAGAATGCAGTTGACTCAAGTGTCCTTGAAATCTTGAGCTACTGAGCAGGTCTGTTCTCTTATATCACACGTCATTCCAAAATGGATTTGCCGAAGATTACAAAACAAAACACAGTAGAAAGTGAGTAGTATCAGCTGTTAGAACAAGGAAATAGTTGGTCCCAGGCACCTGGCTTAAGGTAAGCTCAGGCCTAGGCCCACAATATACATACATACAGCTGAGTTCCATGCTGCCCTTCTTGCCCAGCCAAGAATCCTGCTTCCTGCTCCAGAGGTACTGCCTACCTTCCTTCCCCTTTTCTTGGCCATCTCCAAAAGAACTAAGGCTCTGTCCGTGGGCTTCAGGCAGACGGGTGCAGTGCAGCCTCTCACCCCCTCTGCAGGCAGGACGCTGCGCTGCAACTCTCTAGGCCCTTTCCTCATCTCTTCAGCAGCATTTACCACCTGCCAGGCCCAGGGGGTGGAGACAGGTAAGAGATCCCCCTCTTCCCTCTGGGAGCTCACGGTGTAGGGGCTGAGCCTGATGTGAAAGCAGGCAATGACAATCCAGAGAGGAGATGCCAGCATCTAAGAAAATGAAGGAGCACAAGGATGGAATGATTAACTGCCTAGGGAGATTGGGGAACACTTCACACAGGTGACTGCTAAAGTAAACCCCGAACAACAAACAAAGTGGGTGAAGGGGAGGCATTCCAGGCAAAGGGAAAGTGCATGCAAACCAGGGAAGCATAAAAGAGGGCACCGATTGGTTTGAGGTCCCTGACTTGATCACACTACACTTCTTCTGGAGCTTCCTAAGAAAGCAGCCTGAAGAATAAAAATGAAGGAAGCCAGACCTCTCATAAAGGTCTTCCACCTGCCATCCCCAGGAAAGCAAACCTTTCTTTCAAGAGCTTCCCCCGACCCCCAGCTTCCCACACCCGGTCTCCCTTACCCTCTCAAGAAAGGGCCCATCCTGTCTCAGTCAAGTGACAACCTCTGCACCCCTGGCCAGGTCTTTTCCCTCCTGTGCCTCTGTCTCCTCCTCTGTGGAGTGGGGAAAGAACCTTGTCTGCATCCCTGTCAATCAGTCACGTAACAGCTAGGAGAGCTCCTGGCACTGTGGGCAGAAGGACCCAGGAGACCCCAGGCCCTCAGGGGCATCCTGGGCAGGCCACAACCCCGAGCTTGCTGGTACAGAGAGGTGATGCCACAAGTCCGTCCTCACAGATGGACCCAACTGCACCCGCAGCCGCCCGCTGCTGACAAACCTCCATAAAAATCAGTGATCCATGCAGTTTTGTTTCAGGTGTTTTATTAAGTGGGCCATACTGTAGCTGGTTTCTAAGTTGCAAAACATAAATTTAATAATAATAACATAGCCAGTTAGATTGTGACAAGCTTTTCCTTTCCTTAAAAAAAGAAAATACCTAAAAACACACAATGGAGGGTTAAATAAATAAAACATTTTTAAAAAGAAAAAAGAAAAGAAAAACCTGTTAAAACATGCTTATGTTTACTTCTGTGAAACTGTGCCAACAGGAAATATGATACTTGGCACGATGACACATCCCGGCATGTCTCCTTCCCAAATAATACTGACAAAAAAGAAAAGATGTGGGACTGACTCATCAGTGCTTACTTAGAGGCACTACTAAAAATCCCTTTGATTGGAGCATAGGGCTTCCCGCTCAGCACACCTGTGTGTGGCCTATGAAAGCCAAATAACCATAATAATGTTAATATAGAAAACATTAGTTTAAAAATGATGTGGAAGGGCCTCATTAATGCGACGGGGCAAGGAAACATAACTGTCCCGCACGCAGTGCCACAGGCTCAGTCCAGGGAGGCCTCAGGCTTCCAGCATGTGGCCACGGCGAGGGAGGGCACCAGCTTCAAAATAAGCGGCACCGGCCTCGCTCCCTCTCCCTATCACTCTTTCACATGAAAGTGTGTAAAAAGCAAATCGGCAAATAAACTCTAAAATAGATTATTTATTCCAAAAATCCTCTAGTTTTCTTTTTACAGTGAGTGTACATTTTGTCTCCTCCTGCACAATTGCTTAAGTCCGTTTGGGAAGAAAGGTCAGAGCTGCAGGGTGAGTCTTTCTTAGTCCTGCTGCTGACTGGTCCTGGTCAGTCATCGACTGGTCAGATGTCGATGCCCTTGACAAGGGACGTCTCCAGTGTGATATTGAACTCCTGCAATGTCTGCAGCACGCGAATCAAGGAATTGACAAGTGTATGGTCTTTGATCAGTGCCACATCCTCATACATGTGTGCAGTGATGGGGCAGTCAGCCAGCAGGGCAATCCAGTGGTGTAGGAGGTGATCTCTGGCAGAGCAGGAGTAGTCCAGGTGGGTCAAAGGGGAAGGGAAAAAGAAGACAGACAGTTAGTGCAAGGCCAAGGGGGAAACCATGAACTAAGTCTGAAGCTGGAGAAGCTGACAGCTCCCCCACAGCCCCCTTTCCCAAACAGGGACTGGCAAAGAGGTCTTTCAGCTCCAGGACACCAAACAAACCTGACCCAAATCAGCCCTGTCACGAGCCCCCAGGCCTCCTCCTCACCTGCCTCCCTCGCCCTGCCTAGACAGCCCCACCACCAGTGTCTCCCAGAGCTTCTCTCCTCCCACAGCTACCACCACCAGGAATAATAAGAAGCACTAACCTCACACAGCACTCAGCATGTGCTGGTACTAACATAAGAGTAATCTTCATGATAACCCTATGATATGAGGTAGGTACTATTATTATCCCCACTTTACAGATGAAGAAAGTGGGGTAGATGGAAGTTAAGTAGCTTGCCCAAGACCACATGGCTAGTAAATGGATAACTTGAGATCTGAACCTAGTGAACGCAGTTCTGGAGTCTGTATTTAACCACTATGCCAATTCTCTCCCTTTATGCAGCCTGAATAAACTACTGCCTTAAGTTTATTTGAGCTTCATGCTCTTTCACCTGACCTATAGGAACAACCCCTAACAATCTCGTCCACTGTAATGCATACCACACATAATATCAGATTAATATTACTTCAGTCTCCTGATGAAACAATTTTGTATTAATATGAAAAGAATCTTTCTCTGTCCCAGCTCAGGGGCCCTATCCTGTTTCCTATTACTGCCCTTGCCACATTCTGTTATTTCCTTCCATTAAAGGCTCACTTAAATACTAACTCCTCCCTGAAGTCTTCTCTGATCTTTCTCCTCTATCTTTTCAGCATATTGTATGAATGTATACTTCATTTTTGGACCCTCAAAACCTTCTTCCATGTTCTGTATTTAATTAGGACAAGTAAGCTTCTAAATGGTGGCTGGGTGTGGTGGCTCACGCCTATAATTTCAGCACTTTGGGAGGCCAAGACAGGCAGATCACCTGAGGTCGGGAGTTCAAGACCAGCCTGACCAACATGGAGAAACCCTGTCTCCACTAAAAATACAAAATTAGCCAGGCATGATGGCACATGCCTGTAATCCCAGCTACTCGGGAGGCTGAGGCAGGAGACTCGCTTGAACCTGGGAGGTGGAGGTTGCGGTGAGCCGAGATTGCACCA